AATGTTATTAAATAATTAGACTTTAATTTAGATATAAAAAAAAAAAATTAAAATTATTACGATCGGTCTTTTATTTATTTTTGTGTAAAAAAAATTATAAATCTTGAAGTAGAGTTATAAACTCTTTCATTTTGACTGAACGGAATTTGCATCTTAGAATTAGAATTAAATACTATAATAGTATTATAGACACTCCTTTATTTTTGGAAAATAATTATTATAACAATATTATTACGGTCAGTTTTTTATTTTTCTTCTGTAAAAAGAAAATTATAAATCTTGGAGATAAGTTAAAAACTATTTCATTTTGACTGAATTGAATTTACATTTTAAAACTAGATTTAAATATTATAATAGTATTATAGTCACTCTTTTATTTTCGAAAATTAATTACCATTACAATATTAGTATGACTAATCTTTTATTTTCTTTCTGTAAAGAGAAAATTTTAAATCTTGAAAATAACTTATAGTCACTCTTTTATTTTCTTTCAGAAAGAGAAAATTATTTCTGATTTTAACGCCAATCTCAAACACTTAAACTTTTTTGTAAGTTTCATATTCCAACTATATGTTATTTACCTATTTAAATTATCATTCCCCTTCCCCTTGTAATAAAACACACCGTGATGATTAGTTAGTGTCTTGTCCATGCTCCATTTTATTTTTTAAAAAGAGTGTCAGGTGACACTCTTAGGGGCTAATTTTAGTATAAATTATAGGAACCACATATTATAAGTACTAAATAACATCCTATTTCTTCTAGTTTTCTATTTACCAAAAATCCCTTAAAAATGATGTTTGTGAGATACATAGCGTTGTGCACGGGATACATTAGGTTTGATACATTTCACATAGCGGGATACATAGCATTGTGCACGGGATACATTAGGTTTGATACATTCCACATAGCGGGATATATAGCGTTGTGCACGGGATACATGCGGGACATAGTGTTGTGGACATGATACATAGCGTTTGATACATTCCACATAGCGGGATACATAGCGTTGTACACATGATACATGCGGGATACATAGGTAAATAAGGGATTTTTGAAATTTTTGAAATAAGTAGGGATAAATGGATATTAAGGTAAGTAAAGGAGTGTAGTTAAGTAATTTGTCCTTTAATTATCCATCCAATCTAATTAGGATGTTAATTAATGATTTTAATTAATTACTCTTTTGTTACAATTTATATGATATAATTTAAATTTCAAGAGTCAAACAAAAAATATTTGACTGCAATTTATTGATATGTTTTTAATATATTTTAAATTATTAATTTTTGTGACTTATAATATTTTTTATATAATTTCTAAATATGTACATTATTATTTAAAAAATCTTACAGATTATACGTTTGAATATATGTCAAAGTAAAAAAGTTTGACTCTTGAAATTTGAAATTTGAAATTTGTCATTTAAATTGAAACAAAGTGAATGTTAATTTTAATTAATGTGTAAAGGTTAAGAGAGATTTAAAAACATTTTTGGGGTTTATTTCCGACTTTAAGTCGTGTCTGCCCCGCCGTGGCGGCACTCACCCCGCTACAGCGGCCCCGCCCAGGCGGCAGAAATCCCGCCTCAGCGGCTTGAATGGAAGAAATGAACAAAATTAATAATTCCAAGACCCCATTCCACAACACACCTTCAACCAGCGACACTTAGAAACTACCTGTTCACGCTAAGATCAGTTTCGGGAGTTCTACTCGCCCGAATTCAATTCCGTAAAGTCGTTCGGGTTCCTTAACGTCTTAGCTATCTACTCATGTGATCGAATTCATAATTAGATCACCCAATTGCTACTAGATTTCCCTAGACCTCACAGACTCCGATTTCGTCCAAATTTGGACTAGGTTAGGAAATCTCAAGTTACTACGAAAAAGTTTTTCGGCCTAAAATTTTTCCCCATTGGCTTTTCTATAACGACGGGAACAGAAACAAAGTGAATGGTAATTTTAATTAATGTGTAAAGGTTAAGAGAGATTTAAAAACATTAAAATTATGATTCTAAAATAAAAATTAAATGAATAAAAGTACTCAGCCTTGATCCCCCCCCCCCCCCCCCCTCCTCCCACCAATTAACCTTCAATTTTCATTTTAAATTTTTATTTTGGAAAAACAAATTTAAAGTTCTAGAAATTTTATAAATCATACGTAAAGAAAGTTGATATAATTTGACGTTAGTTTTACATTAAAAGTTGACGATTTTACTTAAGAGATGAAATAACTTAGAAATCAATTTGACATTAAAAAAAAAAGAATTTATACAATGCATTAAATGGTGAATCATAATAATCAAGTATGCATCAACGACCTTCATTTATAATTTAGGAATAAGTCTTTCATAAAAAGATAAATGCATGTAATGATGCAAATCACATGTAATTTATCATACATATAAACATGCACAAATACATTTAGTACGTCAAATATTCTACTATGCCATACATCCTTGCATATTATATAGTTTACTAAGCGAACATTAGTCTATCCATAGAGAAACAAACAACGTGGTCAGGCTTCCAATGAGAAAACAAATTTGTACATTTAGTGTAATGATAAAAAAAGTTTAACTAAAATTACTTTGTATTATTAGTTTAAATTACAAATGTAACATTCTTGTATTTTAAAATTCCTTTACTCAATTCATCTGTGCATTTTAAACTGCATAATCAACTACAATCTTTTGTTACTATATGCTTTCAAGTTCGTGACTCTCAAAATCATGAGATATACTGCAAATGTAACATCCTTGTATTTTAAAATCCCATTACTCAATTCACCTTTTCACTTCAAACCGCATATTCAACTACAATCTTTCGTTATTATATGCTTTCAAGCTCGTAACTCTCAAAATCATAAGATATAGTATATTTTTTTAAATAAGCTATTTACTCACAGTCAAAAAGATAAATGAACTTTCATTGGTTCCTAATTATGGACTTTTGCACATGAAAATACAACAAAATTGAAATATTTAAATGGTCATTTAAGAAGAAAATTAACAAAAACATTAAATCAATAATTTGATATAATAAAAAGAAATCATCATACTTATTGATATTATATCAAATATTACCTCCCAAACAAATTAAAGATTATACCTATTTTATTTGAATTTTTTATCAATAATAAATTAAATAAGACAAATTAAGCAAGAAGGGTATTTTAAATTTTTAGATAGTTCGTTACATTTACTTGTTTTATCATTGTCTGATACCCATTTGGAATTACTTTTTATGTCTTTTCCTTTTATTCTGGTAGTATGATGTGCAGTTGATATTTTGATTTGTTCATTTATGTCAATATGGGTATCAATAACTCGTATACTTATGTAGAACTCGTATTTGATAGATTGGGAGCGCTCAGAGGCTTTGACAAAGGGAAAGACTGTTTTATGCTTTACGCTTCTTCAGATTGTAGTAAGTTAAGATCTTTTAGACTCCAATTGAGAGATATTTTTGAAAATAATGATATTAAGTGTGTGGTGACGAACGCCTATGCGGGTACCAGGTGATAAATACAGATTGATTAATTGTTTGTTAAATGCATCACTCTGAATATCTCATACATTTGTGATACTTGAATTGCCTAGGCTCACTTTTTGTACAGTTTATATGCCACAAAGGGGCATATGTTACTCATATTATATATGATCATCCACACTTAACATTCTGTGATGATTCATTAGATTTTGGCTTGACGAATCGTTTGCCTCCACTGTGTAATAGCTTGCAAACCACACAGAAAATGTAAATCGCGTTAGGCAAGTCCTATGCGACAGACTCGACTCAGATGGCATTGAGAGGGAACGATCCCGAATCATCCGTACGTTTGGATAACCACTCTCCAAACCAACCGAGTCATCCCTAATCATTAATGTTTATACATGTCTAATACTAATGCTAGTGTTTTCAGCGATCATATTATACGTTATTTATGTACATATACTACACTTGTTGCATTCTTTTCAGAGTGTAGGTCTTGATTCATGTGATAGTGGAGTTCGCGAAGGAGTTTGAGTCAGGGGTTGTATTAATTAGCTTATTTCAAACTAGTATATTCTAAACTTAGAGGCTCTTGTACTAACTTTGAATTTTAGGGGTGTAGTTTCTATATTTCGTATTTTTATGATTATTAGATTTATATATGGGTTATATATCTTTTTTGTTTTTACTTTTTCGATTTTAAGAATAAAAGAAATCAATGTCAAACACGTAAATATTCAAATCAATTAAAACAGAATTTTTTTTTTATAAAAAGAAATTTTATTTACCTATGTGTGACTTATTCAAGTTAAGTGAGTCAAGTTCACTTATTTTATTTATTCGAAAAACGATAATAATATTAAGTGGTGCACATCAATTTTATGGATTTTGTGAAATTTTACGTAATAATGTTTGCCCATGAGTTTAATTTTTTGCTCTCCAAATTATGTCATATGTCATGTGTCACAATTCAATGGGTACTTTGTTAGGATATGATATACTTTTTTGTATGAAAAGAGTTTTCAAGAGAGGTAGTCCGCACTAGGCAAGCTTAATGCGAAGAGTTCGATTCAGAAGGTAAATTCGGGTTTTAAACTTGAGACCTTTAACATGAAAGTTTCAAGCCCAAATCGCCGGGTCATCCCTAAGGTTAGGATACGATATTTAACTTGTATTTATTGTTAGTTTTTTTTTGGATACATCTAGCGACTACAAAACAATTTTAGACATCAAATTAGTATATAGCCTAACTTCAATCAATGCATATTTGAGCTGTTAAAAATGAATAGATCAATAATTAATTTTTTTAGGCAAGGTAAATATAACTTAAATGAACAATAACAACGGCAAAACAACAAAATACTCGATGTGTGTTTGGTACGAAAGAAAAATATTTTTCATGAAAAATATTTTCTAGACCGATTAAGCAAGAAGGGTATTTTAGGTAGTTCATTATATTTACTTGTGTAACATTGTTCTGAGTATCCTAAAACCTCGCCAAAACCCTCTGCTGTTGCTTTTCTCTACCGGTAAGAGAGGGGAGAGCAAAAATGTCCCTCTCTCGTCTTCTTTCACTCAAATTGCGACCGTTAATCAACACAGTAGGTAGTTTATCAAATACCCACTTGAAAAAATTTATCTTTTTCCCCTCATTTTAACCTCATAAAATTGATTCTTGATTCTGGTATTGGGTTCGGGTGTGATTATTTCACTTGTCTTTTATTGAAAATGTGAACTTTTTTTTTTCTTCTATTCGTAGAATTAGGCAGATGAGTAGGTAGTTTATCAGATACCAATTTGGGAAAAAGTGAATATTTTTCCTTTCTTTTGGTCTCAAAATGTTTGGTGAGGGGTGGATTGAGGTTAAGGGGTACTGATTTTATCACTGGTATATGTTAATGAACCTATTTGCAGAATGTAGAAGAGTGAATAAGTAGTGTATCAGATACCAATTTCGAAAAAAAAGTGAATCTTTTTCTTTTCTTTTGGTCTTGAAATGTTGGTGTGGGGTGGATGGGGTTGAGGGTATTGATTTTATCACTTGTGTGTGTTAATGAACCTATTTGCAGAATGTAGAAAGTGAATAAGTAGTTTACAAGATACCAATTTGGAAAAAGTGAATCTTTTTCCTTCCTTTTGGTCTCGAAATGTTGGTGTGGGGTGGATGGGGTTGAGGAGTATTGATTTTATCACTTGTATATGTTAATGAACCTATTTGCAGAATGTAGAAGAGTGAATAAGTAGTGTATCAGATACCAATTTGGAAAAAAAATTATGTCTTTTTTCTTTTATCATTTTGGTTGTAAAATGCTATTCTTGGTCTTTTTTTTTGGTTTTAGGGAGGGAGGGTTGAGGAGTACTGTTCTTTTCAACTGTGTGTGTTAATGCAGCTAGTTCCTATTTACAGAATGTAGAAGATGGTGTTCTTCCGTGAATGGTAAGGGTGAAATTTCACAGCCGTTGAAGAAATCAGAAGTGGTGGAGCAGCTGAAAGCCAGGGATGTGGAGATAGCTGAAAAGAAGTAAGATCTCTTAATAAGAAAGAGTATGCACCTTTAGCTACATTTTGAGCTTAACTATTTGGTTCAAATTTGATGATAATATAAGTAAGGTCCTCAAAATTATTAGTTGCTTATTAAGTATGCATTTGCACAACAATATCTACAAGATGATTATCAACAAATAAGATGTTTTCTGATGAAGCATAAAAATAAGATTTTAAGATGGACACGTACTTGTACAAAATTAGAAATAATCACACCCGAGGCAGACGGTACAAGTAGAACACAGATAATAAATGAGAATGAGATGGCTTGACTATGTCCTACATTGACCGCTGGATGCACCAGTACTTTAGTGCAACATTATGGTGTTAAAAAAAAAGGGACAAGATATAGCTAAAGTCATATGGAGGGTAGTTGTCTCAATGATATGCTATCTTTTTAAATCTATGCGGATTTAACTAAGAAGAGAATTCATATAGGCAATGAGGTTCAATAGTGTTAGTACACTTACATAAGGTGTGGTGTCAGTTTGTTAGATATTTGTACGTGAAGTGTAGAGGACCTCTAATGCTGCCAATATGTCTTACAAAATAAAATCTGACATTGGAATGAAACATGTCCAACTGAAGCATAGTGGATATTGAGGATTCATATAGCTGGATCCAAGTTTAGGATTGATGTGTAGTTGTTATAATCATGTTGCTCAGAATCTTCAAAGTCCCTGCCCGTTCGTGTTGAGTGTCAATCCAACACGATTTGGGTGTAGAATCTGCATTGATTTGGTCAACCTAACTCGTGTGCTTTAACTACAGTTATGGCCAAAAACTATCGGTTAATTGAGTATTTGATTTGATTTAGAGTTTTATTTGTGCAAAATGTATACTTGCATTACGACTTATATGTTGTAATATACATTTATTAGCCATATCCTTGCACCTGTACTTCAGTTTGTGGCCCCGAATCCTAAAATTTATTTGATGATGAATTCGACCTCTAGATCTACACCCATATCGGATATCCTCACCCGTATCCGAGCAACATAGGTTGTAAATGATGTCTCATCTTCAAAAGGTCAGGTTGATCTTCCTTTGGGAATACATGCCTACGAAGTAGCTATTAACTGAGATTGTTTAACTGCCATAACTGCACAGTGGAGATCATTATGATGAAATATGTTGCAGTTTAACTGTGGACATGAATGTTGGGTATCTAAAAGTAGAGAGTGCAATTTTCTAAAACTAAGTTAGAAGGTGAATTGGGATTTTGTAGCATACTCCGAGATGTGAAATGGATATCATACTAGTGATGGACTAATTTCATGCAGATCAGTTGCTTTTTCAGTTCTTTGGCATACACCAGTCTATGCAGTAGAGTCATATTTACAGGGTGCTTCTTTTCTTATATCTTCTTTTTTCCTCTCTGTTTTTGATAATATAGATTCTTCAGCTTGCAAAAGTCTACAGTATTTTGTGTATTGGAGTGCCTGTGTATCTGTTTTTTCCATTTCGTAACAATGAGCAAACTTTTATTTCTTAAACAAGTTTATCCTCTAATATCTCATTTGTTCTGAAACATATCTCGGATCATTGTTGTTATAGGCTTATGACTGAAAATGAAGAGGTCTTTCCTAGAGAAACACGTGTCCAGAAGGAAGTAGATCCGTGGAATAGTTTGGTAGCGGCCTTTCAAATAACTAAAAAGAAGATATTTGGAAATATTTTGGAGCAGAAGAGCAGTAGCGCTCATGCGTTAACTTCCACTTCTGATCTTAAGGATTCTGATAATGTTGTGTCTGCTTGTAGTCATGATAGTGGAAGTATGAATAATCTTAAGAGTACAATTCATTCAGAAAAGACATCTATAACTAATATGGAAGAAAATGTTGACTGTAAAACATCTCTGTTTTCTTTTATAGCTGTTGAGATTGTTAATATGAAAAACTCTTCAAATACAGTTGTGACTGAGGAATTGCTAAATATCTCTTCAAAAGAATGTGAAGGAAAAACTGACTTCGGGGTAAATGACATGTCTTCTGGTGCATTATCTACCTGTGGAAAAGCCGATTCCAACGACGGTGTTCAACCGATTAATGATTTCCATCATTCAGAGTTAGTTAAGAAAGAGAGAGAACAATTGCTAGATGAGGAAGCATTATCAAGTGTACAAATCAGTTCTGGTGAAGAGATCCTGTCAAAATCTGAGAACGCATGTATCGTAGAACATTGGATGCAGATTGAGATACCTAGGACATCACATAGAATTTCTTCCAATAAATCTGGTTCAACTGCATCTGAAAGCCAGGAGGAGGACATTATGAAGAAGTTCAAATTTTCGTCAAATTTAAAACATGGACGGAGGGATACCTCTGATTCATCATGTGTCTCAAAGAGGGTTGCCAGCTTAGTAGATGCTTCTCAGGAAAAAGGAAATAATGAACCAGAGGTGGAGGCTAAGAATGGCCAAATGCAAAATGAGGAAGTAATATCAGACATTATGTCAGTTTTTGGGAACAGAACATCCAATCTCAAGCAGGTCGAATGTTCTAATAGTATCTTACTGAGTGAAACAACCAACAAATGGCGGGATGTTCTTGTTAAAAAACCAGTTTCCTCTGCAAACGAACATTATCCAGCTAAAGACATGTCTATTCCGATCTCACTTTCTAATACCAAAATGGATGAAATTTCATCAGTTTCCCCTGCAAATGAACATTTTCCAGCCAAAGACATCTCTATTCCGATCTCACTTTCTAATACCAAAATGGACGAAATTTCATCAGTCTCCAATAGGTCTTCTCACATGGAGGCCGATCATCGAGCAATCAATCAGATTGTTGCCCCAAAGAGTGAAAAATCTGTACCTAGAGAGTTTGAGCACCTTAATGAAACTTCTCAGAATACTTTCGGCAAGAGTGGCGACATAAAGGGCTTAATTGAATGTATTAGGGTGCTCCCTCCTCAGAATCATTCTGTTGTTAGGCCTGAGGAAATTGTTGTTGACAGAAGTGTTGACAGATATAGTGAAAGAAAGGCAAGTAACAGCACCCAAGCACAAACTAACAAGCAGTCAACTGACGGGAAAAAAAGAAAGACTTTATCTCAGGGTGTGATTGGAAAGAAGGGTGGGATATCTAGCGAAGTCGTTGAAGATCTCAACCCTGGTGATGAAAGAACAGAGATCAGGAATACTGCACCTCGTGATTTCTTCAAGTCAATAGAAACTGAAGAGATTACATCTTTGAGGGAAAAGGGTAACCTGAACAAGGATGAGGATGCCTCTTTATCTGAAAACTTATCAGATGAAAACAAAATGACTATAAAGTTTGTGAATGTAAAAGCTACAGAACAGGATGTCTGTGACGGTTTCAAGGGTTGTGGGGCTATTACAAAGGTTGTGTTTCCAAGTGTCATATCAACTAATTATAAAGTTGCACACATTTATTTTGAGGTATGTTTTCAGTATTCCGGTTTTTGACCATTTTCTTTCAGGGCTGTGTTCTCGACTTCCTATAGTTGTAAAAATAAATAAATTACAGAGCAATTAAAAAGAAAAAGGAAAGAAAAGAACAAGCAAAAAAAAGAAAAAGGAAAAGAAAAACAGAAATAAAATAAATTAAAAACAAGATGAAGACGCGTATTTTTTGGACCAATATGAAATGAGCTGCACTTCAGCAGGAAAACAGACAGTGCTGATATACCTTGGTTATGCTTGTTCAAGGAGATGGTTCGAGGTGTAGGGACTGAAGTTAGATCTTTCACTTGAACGTAGTGTAGCTGTAGACTCTAGTGCTCTACTACCCTGTTGTTTAATGAATAGATGCAAAACTGAAATTGATTTAATGTTATGCCAATTTTAACAACTAAATGTTGTTAAAAATACGTGTTACTGGTACAAACAAAGGGTGCCATTATTTAGCAATACGTCCTCTCTATGTTCAACTTGAGGGGCTAAACCTGATAATCTGTCACGGTTTGATTTTCTTATGGAAGTATGCTCCTCTGTGCATTTTGTTTTTGCATCGCTTCTTCACACAGCTTGCACAAAATGATATGTTCAGCACCAACTTTGTTCTGCTGTGAATTAAATGTCTCCATTTTGAGAAACAAAATGGTGGCAGTGTAGGCTCTTGATTTGAACAGCTAATTTCACATTCTAGTTTCCACTTACCATTTTTTGGCTTTTGCAGTCCAAAAAAGGAAAGCAAATGGCTCTTAAATGGTCTGATACGGTCATTAGGAATGTAGTAGTTGTGGAGGCCACTTTTCCTCCGAAAGGGAGAGAGAGGATGTGTATACCTGATTTAATTGGTTATCCAGAAGTTCCCACCTCATTAGTAAAGCATCCTTCAAGGACAGTTATGATAAAAGAATTGAAGCACAATGTGTCCTTTCATGACATCGAAGAAGCTCTAGCCTTCTGCGGAGGCAACATAACTGGAATTTTCTTTGGTTCATCAAGCTTCGTTGCTTATGTGGAATTTGAGGTAATTTGCTTCTAATGGAATAACTTTCCTTGTTTCCCTCTTTTGAGTTCATCCAATCTTGTAGGTTTTTGACTAGTCGAGGTTTTTATTGACAAAATGAATTTCTAATGCTAGCAAATAAGTACAGTTTATTTACATTCAAAACCTCCTTCTACCAGACAGTAGAGGGCAAAGAAATTGCTATTGCGAAACATTCATTGATCATGCTTGGAGAGACACTATCAATCTTGCGAATTGATGCACCAAGAACAACCATTGTAAGGATATCAAATATCCCTGTCCCTTCCAGGGCCAAAGTGATCTCCTTTTGCAAAAAACTGGGACAGACTAGGTACTTCTTCACGAAAGCTTTTGGCGTCATGGACGTGCATTTCAAATTTGCTGAATGGCCAAGAATGTTAGAGATTATAAACAGGTAGTTGCTTGCTTATCCTATATTGGCTTCCTTTAACTATGCGTTTGCTTCCCTCGTCATCATTTCTGATTTGATTCTGTACGTTCCAAGGCTGAACGGAATTGAAGTAGATGGTCAGCAATTGGTAGCTAAACCTGCACCGATCTATCCCCCGGATGTCCTTAAGGTTCTCTGGAGTCAACCAGAGGGGAGAAAGCATTTGAAAACCACATTCAACGGCTTGCTGCAGAAAGTAGGAGGAGGGAGTACAGTTGGTTTAACAGAACTTGTAGATAAATTTTATGCTGATGTACAAGAAACATAATTAACATAAGATGGTAAGTTTTGTTCATTAAAACATACTGAAAAAATCCCTATGCATTTACTCTATTCGTTTTGTACATGTGGAAACATAGAATCAAAGAGTTGTCAAAAAACGAAAGAGGTATTCATTTTGGAACGGATTAAAAGGAAAAAAGTAAGAAACAAATTGAAACAGAGGGAGAGTACTTTTGTGGAGGATTGTGAAGTGAGAAGATTGTTTTGCAAAAGCACTCTGCTTTGAACTTGCCATTTATTCTTTATGATTTTATCCCTAATATCTTTTATAATGTTTGAAATTTCTTTCACACTTCTATCTAAACGTGCAACCTCTTATCTATAAATTAGCTACAACACCTAATCGCCCTTTTTTAAGGCCTTTTCAATTCTCTTTCTAGTACGCTTCCAACATAAACATATTGAACAACCAATTAGCGACTCTTTTCAACCTACATCATAGTATAGAATCTATATCCTTTCATCAAACACTATTTCATTTAGATAGAAACGTGTTCGAACTCTATTGGATCAAAGTCATAATCCACTAAATAGTTAAAAAGAAATGGAAAGAGCTCAGATGCACAAGATTTCATCTCATATCTCATATTCATTTTGGAACGGATTAAAAGGAAAAAAGTAAGAAACAAATTGAAACAGAGGGAGTACTTTTGTGGAGGATTGTGAAGTGAGAAGATTGTTTTGCAAAAGCACTCTGCTTTGAACTTGCCATTTATTCTTTATGATTTTATCCCTAATATCTTTTATAATGTTTGAAATTTCTTTCACACTTCTATCTAAACGTGCAACCTCTTATCTATAAATTAGCTACAACACCTAATCGCCCTTTTTTAAGGCCTTTTCAATTCTCTTTCTAGTACGCTTCCAACATAAACATATTGAACAACCAATTAGCGACTCTTTTCAACCTACATCATAGTATAGAATCTATATCCTTTCATCAAACACTATTTCATTTAGATAGAAACGTGTTCGAACTCTATTGGATCAAAGTCATAATCCACTAAATAGTTAAAAAGAAATGGAAAGAGCTCAGATGCACAAGATTTCATCTCATATCTCATATTCATTTTGGAACGGATTAAAAGGAAAAAAGTAAGAAACAAATTGAAACAGAGGGAGTACTTTTGTGGAGGATTGTGAAGTGAGAAGATTGTTTTGCAAAAGCACTCTGCTTTGAACTTGCCATTTATTCTTTATGATTTTATCCCTAATATCTTTTATAATGTTTGAAATTTCTTTCACACTTCTATCTAAACGTGCAACCTCTTATCTATAAATTAGCTACAACACCTAATCGCCCTTTTTTAAGGCCTTTTCAATTCTCTTTCTAGTACGCTTCCAACATAAACATATTGAACAACCAATTAGCGACTCTTTTCAACCTACATCATAGTATAGAATCTATATCCTTTCATCAAACACTATTTCATTTAGATAGAAACGTGTTCGAACTCTATTGGATCAAAGTCATAATCCACTAAATAGTTAAAAAGAAATGGAAAGAGCTCAGATGCACAAGATTTCATCTCATATCTCATATTCATTTTGGAACGGATTAAAAGGAAAAAAGTAAGAAACAAATTGAAACAGAGGGAGTACTTTTGTGGAGGATTGTGAAGTGAGAAGATTGTTTTGCAAAAGCACTCTGCTTTGAACTTGCCATTTATTCTTTATGATTTTATCCCTAATATCTTTTATAATGTTTGAAATTTCTTTCACACTTCTATCTAAACGTGCAACCTCTTATCTATAAATTAGCTACAACACCTAATCGCCCTTTTTTAAGGCCTTTTCAATTCTCTTTCTAGTACGCTTCCAACATAAACATATTGAACAACCAATTAGCGACTCTTTTCAACCTACATCATAGTATAGAATCTATATCCTTTCATCAAACACTATTTCATTTAGATAGAAACGTGTTCGAACTCTATTGGATCAAAGTCATAATCCACTAAATAGTTAAAAAGAAATGGAAAGAGCTCAGATGCACAAGATTTCATCTCATATCTCATATTCATTTTGGAACGGATTAAAAGGAAAAAAGTAAGAAACAAATTGAAACAGAGGGAGTACTTTTGTGGAGGATTGTGAAGTGAGAAGATTGTTTTGCAAAAGCACTCTGCTTTGAACTTGCCATTTATTCTTTATGATTTTATCCCTAATATCTTTTATAATGTTTGAAATTTCTTTCACACTTCTATCTAAACGTGCAACCTCTTATCTATAAATTAGCTACAACACCTAATCGCCCTTTTTTAAGGCCTTTTCAATTCTCTTTCTAGTACGCTTCCAACATAAACATATTGAACAACCAATTAGCGACTCTTTTCAACCTACATCATAGTATAGAATCTATATCCTTTCATCAAACACTATTTCATTTAGATAGAAACGTGTTCGAACTCTATTGGATCAAAGTCATAATCCACTAAATAGTTAAAAAGAAATGGAAAGAGCTCAGATGCACAAGATTTCATCTCATATCTCATATTCATTTTGGAACGGATTAAAAGGAAAAAAGTAAGAAACAAATTGAAACAGAGGGAGTACTTTTGTGGAGGATTGTGAAGTGAGAAGATTGTTTTGCAAAAGCACTCTGCTTTGAACTTGCCATTTATTCTTTATGATTTTATCCCTAATATCTTTTATAATGTTTGAAATTTCTTTCACACTTCTATCTAAACGTGCAACCTCTTATCTATAAATTAGCTACAACACCTAATCGCCCTTTTTTAAGGCCTTTTCAATTCTCTTTCTAGTACGCTTCCAACATAAACATATTGAACAACCAATTAGCGACTCTTTTCAACCTACATCATAGTATAGAATCTATATCCTTTCATCAAACACTATTTCATTTAGATAGAAACGTGTTCGAACTCTATTGGATCAAAGTCATAATCCACTAAATAGTTAAAAAGAAATGGAAAGAGCTCAGATGCACAAGATTTCATCTCATATCTCATATTCATTTTGGAACGGATTAAAAGGAAAAAAGTAAGAAACAAATTGAAACAGAGGGAGTACTTTTGTGGAGGATTGTGAAGTGAGAAGATTGTTTTGCAAAAGCACTCTGCTTTGAACTTGCCATTTATTCTTTATGATTTTATCCCTAATATCTTTTATAATGTTTGAAATTTCTTTCACACTTCTATCTAAACGTGCAACCTCTTATCTATAAATTAGCTACAACACCTAATCGCCCTTTTTTAAGGCCTTTTCAATTCTCTTTCTAGTACGCTTCCAACATAAACATATTGAACAACCAATTAGCGACTCTTTTCAACCTACATCATAGTATAGAATCTATATCCTTTCATCAAACATTATTTCATTTAGATAGAAACGTGTTCGAACTCTATTGGATCAAAGTCATAATCCACTAAATAGTTAAAAAGAAATGGAAAGAGCTCAGATGCACAAGATTTCATCTCATATCTCATATTCATTTTGGAACGGATTAAAAGGAAAAAAGTAAGAAACAAATTGAAACAGAGGGAGTACTTTTGTGGAGGATTGTGAAGTGAGAAGATTGTTTTGCAAAAGCACTCTGCTTTGAACTTGCCATTTATTCTTTATGATTTTATCCCTAATATCTTTTATAATGTTTGAAATTTCTTTCACACTTCTATCTAAACGTGCAACCTCTTATCTATAAATTAGCTACAACACCTAATCGCCCTTTTTTAAGGCCTTTTCAATTCTCTTTCTAGTACGCTTCCAACATAAACATATTGAACAACCAATTAGCGACTCTTTTCAACCTACATCATAGTATAGAATCTATATCCTTTCATCAAACACTATTTCATTTAGATAGAAACGTGTTCGAACTCTATTGGATCAAAGTCATAATCCACTAAATAGTTAAAAAGAAATGGAAAGAGCTCAGATGCACAAGATTTCATCTCATATATCAGATGGTAGTGAAGACCCAACTTCATAAATTTGTACAATAATCATCACAGCTCTCTTAAATGCACCAGCCGGGAATCGAACCCGGGTCTGTACCGTGGCAGGGTACTATTCTACCACTAGACCACTGGTGCTTGTTGCTTAATATGTCTAATAAAAAATAGTAGATGTTATCGACACTTGATATTTATTTAGTACGCATAAATATTGAATATGAACAATTTCATTTGATTCTCCGCATCGTAATCCCCTCCCCATTTATCCCTCATCTATCCCCAATTTAAAAATAAAATAAAATTTGTTATTACTTATAGAGTAATGTATTTTTACATCCCGCAGCAAAACTATTGGAAACAAAGAGATTCATTCCAACTCTTTCAATAAACAAAAAAAGTTAAACTATATATATATTTACTACATGTTTCATATTTAAAATCACCACCCCCCTCCCCCCCCCCACTCATTATTGATAAATATGTAATTATAGAGTGAGAGGGAGGGAGGGGATTTTATTTTTTTAATATTGGATTAAATGTATTTTACTTTTAATTAACTAAAATGTGTATTTATAGTCATTGATATAAATATCAACAACTCAAGGTCAGGACCAAATATTCTATCACTATATATTTATTTCCAGTATATATTAGTTTTGATTTGATGGAAGGAAAGATAATCTTATTAATTTCCCATGTTATGAGAAAATAGTTTTGGCCTTTTCCCTAGAGCTAATAAGGAATAGCTATAAAGAGATTGACATATTAACTTGGAAATCTAGGGAGTTTTTTTTAATAAAAAATCACATATTGTCACTTATCTTTTATTTTACTACAACAAACTTACTCTATTATCTTTTTAAATACAAAATTACTTAATTTTGCTCAAATATAATAGAATTTAACTGTTTTTTATAATAAAAAAAGTCATTTTGACTTTGACTAAATATTCTATAAAATGAAATCAATATAAAGATACGTTGAAGTTATTAAGAACAATGACGAGGTGAAAATGATGAGAATTTTTTACATTTTTCCATAATAGTTGAGCAAGAGAATCTCTGTATAATTGAAAATTTAATGGAGAATAATTATAAGTAAATATTATCTCTA